TAACTTACTGTAGAATAGTAGATGATAGAATGCGTCTGTATTACCAACCTGACATAACTTACTGTACAGTAATAGATGATAGAAAGGCGCTGTATTACTTATCTGATATAACTTACTGTACAGTAGTAGATGACAGAATTATCTGTGTTACCAAACCAATCTGACATAACTTACTGTACAGAAGTAGATGATAGAATGTGTCTGTATTACCAATCTGACATAACTTACTCTACAGAAGTAGATGATAGTATGTGTCTGTATTACCAATCTGACATAACTTACTGTACAGTAATAGATGATAGAATGTGTCTGTATTACCAATCTGACATAACTTACTGTACAGTGGTAGATGGTAGAATGTGTCTCTATTACCAACCTGACACAACTCACTGCGCAGTAGTAGATGATAGAATGTGTCTGTATTACCAATCTGACATATCTCCCTGCGCAGTAGTAGATGATAGAATGTGTCTGTATTATCAATCTGACATAACTCACGGTACAGTGTTAATGATAGAATGTGTCTGTATTATCAATCTGACATAACTCACTGTACAGTGTTAATGATAGAATGTGTCTGTATTACCAATCTGATATAACTTACTGTAAAGTAATAGATGATAGAATGTGTCTGATAGTCCAATGATACATTGGTATTCCCTGACATCTGACAGTTGTACATTGCTGATCAGTAGACTATAGATTCCGTTCTGATTGGTAACAGCGAGTCTCGACTTTATTGAGTCTTCTAGGTTCGGGTTGATTAATGTTCCGTCGGTGTAAACAAATCCAGTAGAAGTGACAGACCACGATGTACCACCACCAGTATCAGGACATTGTAATGTTACTGTTCCTCCCTGTCTGGTGTGTACTGGACTGGCTGATGTCACACCTTCAGAATTCGTCAGGATGCAAATAGAAACAAAAATGAGACTCTGGAATTGTTTTGTCTTCTAGATGATAATAAGAAGAGCTTAGGCTATTTATAAGTCTGTGTTTGTTGTATGTTTACGTCAATTTCATGTTATGTGTTATATATCGGTATACATCGAAATTTATTTTTTTTATTTGACAATATTTAAACATTGTTTTGTTGGTAAATCGTTATATATCTTACAAACACTCGTTCTATTATTAGAGGTCTGTTGCCAAAACACCAATAGTTTATTTCTAACTACATGTGAAATCCATGGATACCGATTATTCAGCTTTGCCATATTTGTAAATGTAAATAATCTAATGCACGATTATCGCATTTCAAATATGTACATGTATATATCCTAGCGTCCTTGGACTGAAACTTTCCTGTGTGACACATCCTTATGCATACCTTGTACAATGACCATCTGTAGATCCATTGTCCCGTCAACCATACATATATATATCCCGATGTCAAGCGACTGGAACTTTGTAAATGAGAGTGTATAACTCCCTCCTGTGTGACTCGCAGATATCCGTGATTTAACAATGCCAGAAAGATCAGCTTCAACTGTAGTTCCTGTGACATACAGGGTACCTCCGGGTGCAGTCCAGCTAAGAATCGTAGCCTGGTCATCAGCCGGACAGGTCAATGTGACGGGGGTGTTAATCTGGATATATACTGGTGTGATGCTTTGGCCTGAAATCGTCAAATGATTTCTGCATGAGAATTTTTCACAAATATATTAGAAGGTATATGACAGTCTTTTTTTTTTTTTTAGAAAAGTTCAGTCTTAAGGCCATCAATTGCATTGATAGATTGATATTAAACGGCAAATCTATTAACATTATAATACAGGATATGAGTCAAATATTTGGTTGGATTTAGTCGCAACGAATTCTCCATTAGATTAGCACCATTGTGTTGGATTCTCCAAATAGAGGTGAGAAAGCACCATTCATCCTTGTTTATTTGTTAAACAATTGTACTATTTTGGCTGATCATCTGTATATCATTATTACCGTTCGTTCTAATATATATCATGAGATATTTATAGCATATATGACATACATACATATATATAGAAGTACCTTAAAATGCTGTGTGTATCCATAAGATATTCGAAAAGAATAAAATCAACACAACAACTGTATTCCGCTAAAGTTTTCAGGTCTAACGGCCATCTTCAGGCAAACATTCTGGAGATGGCCGTTAGTGGGATACAGTTTTGTTGATTTTATTCTTTTCAAATATTTATATATATTTGTGTGTGTGCGCGCGCGCGCGCGCGCGCGTGTGTGTGTGTGTGTGTGTGTGTGTGTGTGTGTGTTTCCGACAAACTGTCGGCATAAGGGTAGAAAATTATGACATAATAGGGGTGGGGTTTTTTGCCCTCTTGAAGTTTGAGAAGGTTTTTCTTACCTTCATATAGCAGATGGTCAGCTGTTACAGGCATCTCTTTTGGGCATATGCCGATAGCAATTGTCTTATAATTATTGATAGTTAATGTGTTGATTCGAGAGGAGGGTGTTAGTGGGTAATGCACGTTTAAGGTTTCATCCGAGACCAGGTCTTTTCCCCAGTTTTCCGGGACAAGGCTAATTTTTGCAGAATCCCAGAAACGAAATAAATAAATAAAGGTAATTAAGATGTTGATTTGGAATTAATCATTTGCCAAAATTCGATGTGATTCGTAACAAGAATTGGCAGATTGACTTTTGAAATGTAGGACTAAAACACAGCTAAGCAACTTCGAGTCAAAAGTCGGGTTATACATAATTTATTCTGCTAGAGTTTTATAGAGTAAATAAAAAAAAGTATATAACATCCCTGTCAGTGCTTAGAGGATGCTGGACACTAAGTCAAGTATGTTTATATCGATTTGAAGAATACATTATAAAGCATGATATAACCAATTCAATAATTGAGCTATCTGTCATAGGCGTATAACACATGTGGAGCTGTTGTATATATAGTGTTACTTATGTGTATCACTGTAGCTAAAACACAGATATTTAATACAGGGAGACTGTACGAGGCCGCAAATATAATATAACATGGTAAAGATCTTTTGTTATTTGGCTTGGTGTCGAAATCATTTAAATGTTTTTTGTTGTATGTGCAACATCTAACATATCACGTCACACATATTAGAGTTAGTCTTTACTAGCAGACGATATTTGTTTTTGCGGGAGTACTATAACATCTACAGGTTTTTTTTCAACAGTGAATATGTAGCACGTTGGTCGTAACCTACTTAGCCGATTATGTGGATGGTTGTCAGGTATGGCGTTCAATTAATTTGAGAGTCATTATCAATAAATAGATAGAGGTAGATTTGACAAACATATCAAATTATCATTATAGTTATTGTCGTCATAAGATGACATCAACTGACGATAAACCACGTACCTTGTACAACAACGTATGTTACAGTAATTATCAACAGCATAGAGAGGAACATGGTGGTCCACCTATCTACCATGTTAAATTTCCGTGTTAATTCAACGAGGAAGTTTAAATGCTGTGCTAAATATAACAACACATTGTTGACATTTGTGTGTGAAAACAACTCTGAAAGTATTGTTCAAAAAGTCATCGTTATAACTTTGTTATCCAATATTACAGTACTACTTTGTCGCGATATGTACCATTACTCATTTGCCATCATATATACTACTATAACTTTGTCACCCTATGTACCATTATTACATAATCGCCCTATGTACCATTATTACATAATCACCCTATGTACCGTTATTACGGTGTCCCCTATGTACCATTATTACTTTGTCACCCTATGTACCATTATTACTGTGTCACCCTATGTATCATTATTACATAATCATCCTATGTATCACTATTACTTTGTCACATTATGTATCATTATTACATAATCACCCTATGTACCAATATTACATAATCACCCTATGTACCATTATTACTGCGTCACCCTATGTATCACTATGTCATTATCACCTTATGTACCATAACTATTGTGTCATCATATATACCATTATCACTTTGTCACTCTATATACTGGTATTACTTTGTCACCTTCTGTACCATTGTTACCTTGTCACAGTATAAATGAGTAAAACTTATGATTTTCTGTATCAATAATACATCGTCAAGATGCATATGATTTCGTGTAATTACAAAAATATGTTATTTAAATCAAAACATCACCAAGTTTTTTTTAATCATTTTATTTTCTATTTTTCTATAAGAGCTTTTACAAATAAAATTGTGTAAACTGATCTACAAAAAAAAGTATATTGGATGTACATAAATACATAATGTACACTAGCAAGCCTTCAAATAAAGCAGGTATTTATGTAAATTCTAACACTGGGTTTGACATCAAAGGAAACAATTTGACTATATGCAAATGTTTTTACAAAATCATTTAAAATAACAATTTTTTTAACATTTTAGGCCGCAGACATTTTAAGCTCTTAATCGTTTAAAATTTCGTTTCGTTATATTCTCAATCCTTCAAGAGATCCGTGAAAATGAGTAGCAAACAATCAAAAGATAAAAATGTTATATAAACTTGATTACATATAAGTATAAAAACAAAACAGATATATAACCATGTACCACTGAATCAACTCCAGTCGGAATGTTACGATATTAATCAGCCACTGTATACAGTGTTTGTATGGTAATTAATGTTTAGGACAATTACTATCAGAAACAGTAAGAAATCATTTGTTTATGATTAAAACAGTAATTCATCTAAAAGTTCTATATGATCTTCACTGATTTAATATAAAACTAAGGGAGACAACATTATAATACAGATTATACAGATTTTGGTACAGATTTACGTTAGATGACCTGAATGAACACACTAAAATCAGCAGGACTGATTAGGAATCAATCAACACACAAATCATTTAAGTGTAATAATATAAACATGTATTTATCATCTTTTGAATTTTATCGACAAGTAATTTAGCAACTTATTTTTTAAACTTAAATAATTGTAAACCTGACAGATAAATTTAGGAAACTAGTTTTTTTTCTGTTTTGTTTCAACAAGCCTTTGCGAGTACAAATGAGGAGTCTTATAAATCACATACCAAATGGAATTGAATATGCAAATGATGAAGAAAACAATCATTTCTATGATAAATATTTCAACTGTACATCTGAGGTTGTTATTGTTCAGGCACAACACAATCTGTAAATATGTAACGTCATAGCATTTTCTATGGCAACGTCACAATAATCTATATTTACACATAATTATATATATATATAACGTTACTATCATTTTACACTAGTGTAATGTAGTATATTCATCAAAGACAAAGTCAGTCATGGGATTTCATCATAAAACTGATAATGCATTTATTTAAAAAGACATCTATTTACTTTTATAAAAGTAATGTATAAAAATATTTATTCACTGTTACATATTACACAATGAATGATTAAATCTGTAAAGTCCCCGCTGATTCTTAGAGATATCAACTAAACATTATTTTCAAAAAAACAATCAGTTGAGCAGGTGCCATCACCAGCAAAAAACAGTTATTCAATGTACGAGAGGGAACCAGAGAACAAACTCAGTATGTAAAGGCAGACTTGTACATGTAATCAAAAAACCTATATTCGGACACCAGTGTCATGTGACCTGTTAAAAATCTCACACAAATACATAATATTTGTGTTAATACATCAGACTTATGTAGTATAAAAAGATATCGATGTAGCTCATAACACCATGTTTATTTGCATTAAAATGACTGCAATAAACATCTCGCCATCACTTTTCATGAAATTCATTCAGATTAGTAAAAAATCTTAGTGACAACAATACATACAAACTTCCTATCATACATATGTAATTAAGGTGGTGTGAATCCATCACTTTTATCTAAAATAACGTGTTTTGAGTAAAACGCAGTATATCTTAAATATCGATATAAGGTTAAACACACTACAAACCAAGCATCCGTGAGACGTGATTAATTATCGAAAGTACACCTTTCAATAAAAACTAGAATGGGTTGTTGTTGTTCAAATTCCCTGGCATACATTACTACTCATATTTCAAGAATATATATATATATATATATAATATACTTGCTTATTATGCTATATCATTCATGAGTGAAAAACAATGTAAATGAATGATTTAGCATTTTAAAGATAGCAATGAATGATAGGTGGGTGTAGTATTAGTGTATTTTTTGACAAACATCATAAGAGTATTCCTATTCCAAAGAAAAACAAATACATTGACCCTTTTTTAAAGTTACAATGCAATATCTCTAATGTTGAAATGAATATTTAAAATATTTCACTAAAAAGAGATATATATGGAATCAGCATAACAGCCAGGTACTTGATGTGTTGTTGTCTAAATAATCTAGTTTTGCCTCTATTGTTCATTTGATACTGGTGTCATGTCCAAAAGTCCCTTGTTTACGGCCTGAGTCAATGAACCATCTGTAACAAACAAAACACAGAATGATTATATTATTATGTATGGTAGCAGAAAGCTGTGTATAAACAAGACATTTATTTATTAGATCCTTTGGTGTGATACTTCGTTAAATAATGATAAAAGAAAATATCAATACCTGACCAGGATCACTCATCAATCAAAATTCAATAAAACTAAGGCATAGTCTGACTGGAAGACAGATTTACACTGAGACTCTTGAAAACATACAATGGAATAATGCCATAAGTTTCAGAATAGTGTCCTCTACAAAATACAATTCAGGAAAACTAGGCCAAAGAGAGAAGAAGACTCTTGAAAACATACAAGTAGATAAGGCCATGTATTTTGGCCATCTGTTTCAACGATAACATCCGACAGATAATTCATCGTAATCCAAATATGCTAGGTCACGTTCTCTAATGATTACAACAGATAGAACAACGGAATCAACAGGCATGGATGAAGGTAACAAACCTCAAACATAACAAGTTTCACTTCGCACAAAGAAACAGAATATTTCCAAATGAGATCACTGTGACCATCGTAATTTTTTTCCATAATTAATATCAAACCTGCATCTTTCGAATCCGTGTTTTGATTTTGTCTGTCAGTAAACTACATCTTTTGCGATATTTGGAAAAGCACATGCATTTCGAATTAACAACAAGAATGTAAACACTGAAGGATAGGACAACAAGATTGCTGCTCTCCAGAAATGGAAAGTTCACAGTAAAGAAAACTGGAGTGATTGTGCTTATAATTCAGCTAGATGGAAAACTGTCAATGTTGAACTCATTATGGTAACAGATTTAAATAAGCGGTGGATGTAGAATAACCTATCGAGTCCATGCATAATTTCAAATTCTGAGGGGAATATACGATGTACATGGTCAATAAACATAGCTGAAAAAGAAAGTGACCCTTGAAGGTCTAGTGACCTATATTCAGCCTCATATATAAACAAAACATGTCAGCAAACAGACGTTTTCCACATGTGTGCAAATAGAAATATTTCCTCTACTAATTTAAACTTTCATAATTTTCATGAATGATCTCAAATAATTTGCCATTTCATATGAGGATACAGAAAACTGTTGTAGACTTCCTATTTTTGTGATTTTCACAAACTGCGTGTATGTCTGCACCTTTAAGTTTCTGCCTCACCCACTATAAATCTCACTTCCTTTGTAATTTTGTCCCATGAGCTTACTGACTGCCTTATGACTCGCTCTCAATAAACCTCCCTTACACTTTGTATTTTTGCCTCTTGTGGTGTTAATCTCCCTGTGTGTCTATAAAGCTGACTCCCCCGCCTTAGTTATTACAAATCCTTTTCATTTCTGCTTCATTTTCTATAAATTCACCTTGGCCCTTTATATTGTGCCTAGCCCCTCAGTGATCCATATCGCCCTCTGTATTGTGCCTAGCGCCTCAGGGATCCATATCGCCCTCTGTATTTCTACAAATCAAAACTTACTAACATAAAAAGTAATTATTAAGAAAGTGTTTGTTATAATCAGAATTTAGTACAGCTGACATCTAAAACAAAACAACACTTACCACGTTTGTCATGCTTGGACTTGATCACAAAAACAATAATTGCGATGACGATGGACAACGAAACTAAACTGATCACCAATCCAACAATGGTCAATGCCAAGCTAATGTCCTCTGCAAGAAAACAACACAGATGTATTTTTATGCCTCTATAACGATCAACAGGGTCATGGTGCTTTCAGGGAAATGATATTACCAACACAATAAAAATACGTGAATCACGTTGAAACCTAATGAAAATGTAGAATGTGCATAACATAGCTGTCATCCAAATTGTTATGGATTTAAACCACTTAAAATAAAAAAAGTTACACTCATTTTTTTAAAAGTGAAAACTGACTGTATGTGCCATCTTCGTAAGAGATAATGTGAGACCCTTGTGTCACAAAATTCAACATTCTTTTAGTTAAAGACGTTAAGGCTCTTTTTATAAGTAAAATGGATTGCACAATTCCTGAACAGTGATTTATTTTTACATATCACTTTTAGTCAATTTCACCCCTTTAGGTCTAACAAGTCAGCCCCTAGTGGCCAACTATGTTAAACACATGTATGCGCATGCCATCAAGCTGTCTTCTGATGCTACTTTCAAACTGCCTACATTAACAGCAATAACGTCATCATTGCAATTTTGTTTCCAGTATGTAAAAGAGTAGTTAAGTTATGTTATGAGTCTAAAGACTAGGTATCAATATATCAGACGACAACCATGGCAACAAATTTACTAAAACTTACCATTTACTGTATCGGATAGCATATAACCAGCAACTACACATCCCAAGCCAGTGACACCTACTAATATATATGCTATTACCAGGTCAAAGCGCTTGTTCCAGACTACAATGTAAGAAATATCATTATATACATACGACAATAGCCTCATAGTTACTTATATTGAAGCCCACTAATATTTATCCTTCCATCAGCTTTAAATAACACAATATTCATGTCCTTCTAACTATTTCATAAGATATGCCAATTACCACCAAGTCTCTACCTGTAATAAGCTTATTTATCTTTTTTACAAGTAGCCAGGAAGTGTCCAATCACTCCCTGTAGGAAACCAAATCATCTATTTTAAAATAAAAACCAGTAAGTGTCACGCCTTTCCTTCATTTTCATGAACCCATCGTTATCATTCCTTGTAACAAGCCTTATCGGAGTTACATGTTGCACTGTGTATAATCAGGCATCTACGTGCGAGTATGATGATACACAAATTCTAAAGCTGAAAGCAAAACAATTTTCAATTGTTCATCGACAATTCCTGATCTAGAAAAGTTGTTATAGTATTATATAACAAGTTTTGACAAGTTTGACCATTGAATTCAGCAGCGATGCATTGTCATCATCTTTTTTCTTTAATTGCCAAAAGACCACCATACCTGAAGAAGATATGGGTATGTTACCATATGATACAAAGCAAATTTCCAGGGTAAACACCAATGGGATAAGCAGTACTTTGCAAATCAGACTGGTATAATAGTGGTGTAAAGTAAAAACTAACCATAACTCTGCTACCCTCTAAAACACATTTTAATTCATGAATGAATTGATGTTTTTAGAATGCGTTTCTTTTTTCGTTCTGTGTATTTCTTTCTCACACTTTAAACAGTTAATAAACAATGCAGTTGGACATTGTCTTCCACTTTTCACATTAAACCTAAATTGTACTTTTTTCTGATTAAAGGGTATCTTCCAACAAGAAGTCATATACTAAATTTAAGTGATCCCTAAGTGTCCGCCAGCTCTGCAGGCGACACAATAAAACTTAGTCAAGATCACTGTATTTATCAATGTATACATTACCCCTGATATTGATCCATAGTCCAGTGCTCTTCAGGAGTCAATTTATTATCCAACGTTGTGAAAACTAATTTCAAAATAGTTGAAATGTGTTATTGGAGAAATTTCTCCCCATTGACATATTTGTTTATCAGGTTACTAAGCAGTGCATATTGTATGACAGAGTTGTAAAATATCTAGACTTTGCATCTGCCAATTAAGATTAAAGTCATTTTATTAAAGGAAATAAGTCACAAATTTGATACTTACGAGGTTTACAGCATGTTAGTAAGACTATGCCTGAAAAAAAAGAAATATGAAAAGCATGATCACTCTGTATGTATTGAATATATATAATACAAAGAGACTAAGGGACCAAAATGTTGCATGAGTTTGATGCGCGTGAACATGTACCAAATTTGAAACTAAATACAGCAGCATTTCTAAAATGAATAAGAAAATATTTCATCCAAACGTGGTTAGATTTTAACATCAACATGTAAAGAGAACTGATGTACAGATGTAACATGTCTGGTATTTCAATTAGGTGTACAGTGGTCATGTTGTTCCTCAACTGCCATGAAAAGAAAACATTTGCTTGATATGTAAGTTTTACTCTCTCTAATTTGATCTCTAACTTTTCATTTAAAATGAAATAAGAGTTTGTTCTTCCAATCTCAGGTCAACACTTTGCTTTCATGGTTTGAAATAAAAACTATAAATATTTCATACTAATACTTATTATAAAAGAACAAATAATAAGCATTGCCAATTTTCAGATTATTAAAAAGTCTACTTTTTTTCATGAAAGTGCAACTTCCTGTTCTTGTCACGGAGTCTACTCAAAATCTTAAAATGATAACCGAGAATACTGCAAGATATTTAAAAGATATGCTTGTTCTGTGCAAAAAAAAACTATTTATAATCAAATCATATATAGAACTGGTAATCAGTCATAATAACAAACGTGAGAACGATACTGAAGTTTCTGATGATTAATTTAAGTATACCAAGGGTTATAGTGGCGACATCAAACGGCTAAAAAACAAAAGGCAGTAAGTCTACAAAATATTTTTTAGTCAAAATGTTATTTATGGAAATACAACCTTAGGCTCTGACAGTTAGGTTTACCAATTCGTCATACCAAAGTATTGATTTACGTATCTGAACTGAGAGACGAAATATCACTACATAAATATAATGTTGAAACACAAACAATAATACGGACATATTAACTTCAAAATTAGCTCATCTATATACTGTCGAATTGCACTGTGGTTCAAGTAAACAGAATCTCAAATAATGCCGATCATATATATATATATATATATATATATATATATATATATAAGGTTTAAACTGATCAAGCAGTACCATAATACATTATGGTCTTTAAGGTCAAGCTATACAGTCTTAATTGACTTACCAGTGATGGCATATGCTAAGACATAATTACAGCTTAAGATCAGGAGTCCAGCTGAAAACAAGTAAAATAGGTCAAACTGAGAAGAATAATTCAACTTCTTAAGGTCAATATGAATCTTGCTAGGTCATTTCATATCTATAAGGGATTGTATAAGACCAATTCTTCATATTGATGTTGCAAATAGCAAACTAATGCTGTTCCGTCGTCCTAGGATAAGCCCTCAAAATTAATATGAGGAAATTGCAAAAAAAGAAATATTAGGAATGTATCATACTATTTTTCCTGCATTGTTCATTGTTATCAATGGCAAAGATATGTTATCTTAAAGTGATTTGCTGAAATATTGCTGTTCAATTTAGATCTACAGTTGACGGACTTGGAGAGGTTTAATAATATATGTCATCCCTCAGAAAGTGGTTGTATGTCTTTTGATTCCATAAACCCTTTTCCTGATCTCTTCTGTAATATCTAAATTTCATGTTGTTAAGGACTAAATGCAGGAAGAGTCTATTTTACATTTACATATCATGCAACACTTGACCAAACGTCTTTAATAGCATTGCTTATTTTATGAATGAATACATAAAAAGGCGCCACTCTTCTGTTTATAATTAAGAGGAAAATCTACATCCCTTTATAATTTGACATTTCAATCTCTTGTATCGTGTAGTGCAAATTTGATACTCTATTCATGTCCAGCATCTATGAAGGTCAATATTAAGGATCTTGTTGCTGGCCATTGTAGTACAAATATAGTTTACACATGGTTACACTATATGAATGCATGCACAACTACATAGCAATACAGAAGGTCCTGGATACATAAGCGTTATGCTTCACTTAGTTCACTTAGATATATTGAATGTTTTTGCTGGAGAAAAAAATTCTATAAATCATAATAGTAATTATAAATGCTTTCACACTAAATGAACTCTTTGACTCTTTGTACATTCAATTTTTTTCATTGTTGCTTTCTATGCTGCAGTTTAATCTATTTTAGATCAGTATGCTGTAATTTCCAATTTTGAAATGAATGAAAGATTTAAAGTATACTTACTTGAAAGTCCTACAGCAATAGGGGGCTCTTAAAATGGTTAAAAAAAAGGAAAGAGTTATTATATGACAATAACTGCAGTCAGAAATAGAAGTTATAAACAAAAATGATATCTAAAAAGGCATAACAGATATGATATTGAGGATCTTTACCGGCTGCAAGCACATGTCGGAAATTAAAATAAAAGAAACAAGAGGCCCAGAGGGCCTGTATCGCTCCCCTGGATCTTTATGACCAACACTACTATATCTGTGCATATGTTCCACGTTTAACACATTTGACCCCTGTGGTCTTGACTATGGGTCGAAGTCATTTTTTTTTTTACTTTCTTGGACTTCATAAAAGGAACATACTGGCCACATATAATTATTCTAGGCTTTTCCATATTTCAGAAGAAGTTGTTTAAAACGATTTAACACATTTGACCTCAGTGACCTTGAATATGGGTCAAGGTCATTTCTTCTTGCAAACTTTGTTGGGCTTCATCAAAGGAACCTTCCAGCCATATATAACAATTCCAAGCCTTCCATTATTTTTGAAGAATTTGTTTAAAGGTTTTTTGTCACATTTGACCTGTGTGACCTTGAATATGGGTCAAGGTCTTTTTTTTTTTTTTTTTCAAACTTTGTTTGGCTTCATCAAAGGAACCTTCCAGCCAAATATGATAACTGTACGCCTTTCAGTATTTCAGAAGAAGTTGTTTAAATGAAATTTTGATGGACGCTGGACACCCTTTGGGCCAGGTGAGCTTTAAAAAAAGGTAATCATCTGCATATGTTTACAAATGAACCATTCACTGTGATTTTTATCTAAACATTGCCAATGCTGGAACTAAACATCAACCAATAAACCTAAAAAAAATCTAATAGAACGACAGAAATGTATTGAATATCAAGATATACTTCCGGAACCTTTCTAGTCACTAAAATCATCTCCAAGAATCCAGTCAGTAAAATCATCTCCAAGAATCCAGTCACTAAACTCATCTCCAAGAAGCCAGTCACTAAAATCATCTCCAAGAATCCAGTCACTAAAATCATCTCCAAGAATCCAGTCACTAAAATCATCTCCAAGCATCCAGTCACTGAAATCATCTCCAAGAATCCTGTCACTAAAATCATCTCCAAGAATCCAGTCACTAAAATCATCTCCAAGAATCCAGTCACTAATATCATCTCCAAGAATCCAGTCACTAAAATCATCTCCAAGAATCCAGTCACTAAAATCATCTCCAAGAATCCAGCCACTAATATCATCTCCAAGAATCCAGTCACTAATATCATCTCCAAGAATCCAGTCACTAATATCATCTCCAAGAATCCAGTCACTAAAATCATCTCCAAGAAGCCAGTCACTAAAATCATCTCCAAGAATCCAGTCACTAAAATCATCTCCAAGAATCCAGTCACTAATATCATCTCCAAGAAGCCAGTCACTAAAATCATCTCCAAGAATCCAGTCACTAAACTCATCTCCAAGAATCCAGTCACTTATATCATCTCCAAGAATCCAGTCACTTATATCATCTCAAAGAATCCTGTCACTAATATCATCTCCAAGAATCCAGTCACTAAAATCATCTCCAAGAAGCCAGTCACTAAAATCATCTCCAAGAATCCAGTCACTAATATCATCTCCAAGAATCCAGTCACTTAAATCATCTCCAAGAATCAAAGGATATATCTCTTTAACAGAGGTTGATATTTCTACTTCCTGTTTTATGATTCCAACAGAAGCATGAACAGTTTCTTTCAGTAATTTTCATTAACTTATGATAATTTGACCATAAATTCAACTAATTGAACATTCTGTGTTGTCCTTTTTATCTATAACAAGTGAAGACTCGAGTACATAGTGCATTCGTGGATTCTAACTAGAAAATTATATGAATGCTAAAGTTTGTAGTGTCACCCGTAAGATTTATATAACTACAAACTATAAATAGCAAAACTATCCTTACCTGGAAAATCAAACCTTTGACTTGTGGGGTTACTGACAATTTTTTGGTCAATGATTCTGGCCTCTATCTGGAATTGAACAGTTTTTCCTACCAAACTGGTGCTGTTGAGTTGGCAGTATCTGATGACTGTATACTCATGTGGATCACATCCATCTGTCCCATTGGTGTGCGATACTTCATTAGACATATCTAGAGAATGTTGCTATAATATATAGAAAATAAAAAAGTCTACCATGGTAACATGTAGGGTCCAGACAAGTGAGTTTAAGATACGTTGTAAAAAGTGTGACAATATTCAAAAGTGAACACTGCAGTACTAGAAACCTGCACTATTGCATAAGGTGTAAGACTATGCAAACATACCCCATCATCAGAAATTAGTTTTGTAGTCAGACTGGAAACTGGGTATACACAGTAAAATTTCCCAGTTAGGTTCTGTGGGAAGTCACCGGATGTTGGATCAGGTGTGAACTGAACAGTAGATGGAACAGCTGTAAAATATGAAGTATGGTTTAAATGAGATCGCCTAAAGAAAACAGATATAGAAAAGAGGCCCAATTGGCTTGCAGAGCTTACCTGATATATATATATATATATATATAACAGCCAAATGCCATCCCTCTGGTCGTATTAACTAATGAGTAGAAGTTGTTTAGAGTTTTTTTTTTATGAAATTTGATCCCTTGATCTTGAACAAAGGCCAAGATCATTTACTTTTGTAAATTTTGTCACATGTCAACACAGAAACATACCAGCCAAATATGCCCCTCAGCCATAAAGTTCATGAATAAACCTTGTTAAGATGTTTAAACAAATATGACATTTAGTAAAAATCATTTAATTTTTACAAATGTTGTTTGGCTTTATCCTAAGAACATACCAGCAAATATTATGCCTCTAGGCCTATATGTTTGTGAAAGGAGTTGTTTAAATATTTTAACAAATTTTACCACTGTGACCTTAAATTTAAGTCAAGTTAAATTACAACCTAGAATAAATGGATTGCTTTCTTTCTTACACGTGTCCTTAAAACTACGTTTAATGACATACATACTGTTTTTATGTGAAATTGAAACATTTCGGAGTGGTATTGTCATGTAATCCATCAAATTAATCATTTGTCTGGCAAGGTGATGGTGCCATTTTTTGGCGTCTACTGCCTTTCTATAAGAATTTTCATTTTCCTCAGATATCACCATCATCAGCGTTTAAATTATAAAAAAAATTGGAAGATTTAAATGTTGACATGATATTGCTTATTTCCCTGAGAAGAAGTTTCATTCAGCAATTAACAAGTCAGTGTCCTTTATTCTAGCATTTTAATTTTGCCCACATACTTTCAGTTTTCAACCGATCTCTTTAGGCTCTGCATATTTTCAATTAACACATAACCATTTGATGAACCAACGTGTATTTATATACATTTTGTCTCATTTACTTGTGTTAAATGCTTTGAGATTGGACAGTTTTGTATTGATCAGTCTAGTTTTACTTATGTTATATACAGAATAAATATAGGAAACATGTGACTTGTGTTATCATTGTTCACTTCCTCCCATCAAACATTTAATCTTCATCCACTGTAAGATTTCAACCATAATATATCAATGTTAACTGTGCCAAGATTTATCCTCCATACAGTGGCTAGCAGGACAGCATGAGATGAACATCGGTATATAATAGCATAAGTACAGGTGGATAGTTGCATAAGCATTACATCAAGCTTGGGAAGGCATAAAGTCAATTTATACACAATAAGATAGCAATCATCGAGAGGATTAGCATTTCAAAATCAACTTTATATAAATGTTATACGAAATATCAAGAAAATACCAACATGACAATATAATTATAATTCAAATTCCATAAGACTAGGGCAAAGTATGTACAATATAAAGATTTACATGGAGACTCCTGAAAACGTACAAGAAGAATAAACCAAGTGTCCCAGAAGAGAAAGCATCTTCTGCTTCATCAACAATACCTATCACATAAAGTAATTTCGGGTTCTCAAATGAGAACAAGGTATACAACAAGGGAACCAACATGCAATTTAATGAACATCAGATAAGTCCAGCTTCGTGTCACACAAAGAAACAAAATGTTTCTCGATGAGATCACTATGGTGACTATAAAACTTCCTCATGATCTTCATCGCCCTGGATCACCTAAAACACTATGTTGTGAGTTTGTCTGATAGTATCCAATATATTGCGCGGTATGATATCGTGTACAGACCCTTGAATATCAATTCAACCGAGAAATGTAAACATCCTGGTTTGGAATGCAGAGATGGAAAAATAGATAAATTGAAAGCATCGCTCTTATCATACAGCTTGTTTGAAAGCTGTCAGTGTAAGGTTGGTTGGAGGAAACAATCCAGTCCCCATTATAAAATACTTCAGACTAAAATTGGACAAATTAAAAAAAGGGAAGCTTTACACTTACTTTACCTACATTGTACTTGAAACTGCCCTCAGGGACCCTGGGTTCTACAGTCACCTTAAAAAATTGACTTCTTTTTTATTTAAAAATGTGTCTGTCCTATTGCAAAGCCCTCTGTCTATTTTCTCAATTTTTAAAACTCCTGTTGACCTTCGAAGGTTGAGCCGATGGCTAATACAAACAGATTCCACAGCCACACTTGATGCTTATGACTACTAAATGTGTTTTTTAAACAATTTTCCAAAATAGCAACTTTTAGGTCAAGATAATTCAAGAAGTTTTGTGAGTATTGATTTTCTCCATTAAACCCAATCATTCTGCCCCACAGGAATCAGACCCAAGATTTGTTCATGATTGGATTAATTTGTGATGTTTCAAATCAACCTACTTGGTATATGTTTATGGCTGGGCTAACAAACATAAGGCTATCAGCACAGCTAAGTGTTAACTTTATATTCTGCAGGTCAGAGCTCATGTCTTATTCTCAGTAGATATCACTAATTTAAGAAAAAAAAAACAGATCGTAGTGGGATTTTGGCACACACCACTGTTTGATATTTATTTAATCACTGACAGTTGGACCTTTTCCCTTCGTTTCTCTTCTCTGTCTTTGCTCTGAATGATAGGACATTTGAACATTCCTTTACAAAAAATGAGATGGCAATCTTTACCTGCCAAATCCAAAATGGCGACCTGGAAGTCATTTTATTTCTTCTGATCAATACCAAAATCAAACGGGCAAAAGGAGACACCAAAGGGAACATACTAGGAAATTTCAGTGCGTCTTAAGGAATAGGGATCACAATCCTTACAAGGCGAAATCCGAGATGGCTGTCTGTGGGTCATTTTGTTTTTTTGATCAGTCTCAAGCTCAAACAGGAACAACAAGGGACGAACGTAAACAAACAGGAAATTTGAGAAAGATCTGTGGTGTAGTTATCAGAAAATAGCGATAACAAACTTTCAAAGTGAAAATCTAAAATGACTGTCAGTCATTTTGTTTTTTTCTAATTAGTCACAAGCTCAAACAGCGACCAAGAGGAAGTTCCACACGGACCAAGAGGAACCTATACATGAAATTTGAGAAATATCTTTACAGTACTTCTTAATGATGACAAACTTTTGAACTCAAAATCAAAGATGGCCACCTCTGGGCCAGTTTTTTTTTTTTCTGATCAAACCCAAAATTAGATGGGCACAACTAGGGACCAAAAGGAACCCATTATTGAAATATGAAGATGATTTATTGGTAGTTCTCAAGAAATAGCAATAACAAACTTGCAAAGGCAAGATCCAAGATGGCTGTCTGTCAGCCATTTTGTTTTTCTGATCAGACCCAAAATCAGGCCAGCACAACAATGGACCAGGGACTACCTACATATGAAATCTAAGAGAGATCCATTTCAGTTCTTCTGATCAGTCCTGAAATCAAAGGATCACAAGGAGAGACAAAATCCAAGATGGCTGTCTGTAGGCCATTTTGTTTTCTGATCAGTCCCAAACTCAAAAAGGCACAACTAGGGACCTAAAGAAACCTATACATGGAATATGAGAATGATCTATAGAGTAATTCTCAAGAAATAGTAATAACAAACTTTAAAAGGTTAAAATTACATGGACACAACTAGAGACCAAGGGAAACCTACATATGAAATTTATGAACGATTCATATTTCACTTTTCAAGGAATAGCGATAACAAATTTCAATGAAAAAAATCCAAAATGGCTGCCTGTCAGCCATTTTTTTATCAGTCCCAAAATCTGACAGGCACAACTTGGGACCAAGGGGAACCTACAAATGCAATTTAAATAAATCCAGCACTTCTCAAGAAATAGTGACAAAATATAATTGTTTACGGACAAATGGACAAGCCCACCATCTGATCTAAAAAAAAAACATTGGCCACTGATAAGTATCAGTACTGAGTTTTGTATTAACTATGATAAAGAGGATATAATTTCATACATAGATGTTTTGTTCAGTTCCAAGAGGTGATTGCTTCTGTGAATAATCAGTTTGGGAAAGTCTCACAAACAGTTTAGATATTTACACGATACTTACTGACTACAGTCAAGTCTTCACCTATTGAATGGTCTGATCCATACTCACATCTCCACTGGAAATTATCCTCAACATATACAAGAGAATGTATATCTAAGTATGTTTCATTTAACAAGGAATTCTGTGATACTTTGTATCTGGGATTTTCATTTGTAGTCCCACATGTTCCATTTGAACAACCCCCTTCATGACCTCCTGATGTTGGCAATTTTGTAAACAAAATTGGTTTGTTTACATCCGGTGTTGAACATTTAAGTCTACATGATGATCCTTTCGTCGCATTTTCACAAAGGTGAAGTGAAATTGAATCTGCAAAAAATAAGAAAACAAAAATTGTACAAAATTGTCAATCAGCTTTTGTCTGACAACTTAAATCTAAAAATGCGTTAAGTGAAATTGAATTCTAAAATTTAAAAAAAATGGGACTTGATTATGACAAACTGCCAGATGGTACATTGCTAGATTCTTTTGTATCAACCAGTACTTACTAAATATTATTGAAACAAGAAATACCAGATGTGAACATAATCATAATTCAAATTCAGATTATATAACAATAGAACGTACTATGAAAAAACTATAGATATACACAAAAAACTTCTGAAAGTGTAAAGGAGAATAAGACCTGGCATTCCAGAAGTGTAAGCGTCTTCTACTTCGGCTACAACATCCAATACCAGTGAAACACATTGAGTAAACAGTGGAATACATTAAGTAGACAGTGAAACACATTGTGTAGACAGTGGAATACATTGAGTAGACAGTGGAATACATTAAGTAGACAGTGGAATACATTGAGTAGACAGTGGAATACATTAAGTAGACAAGTAGACAGTGGAATACATAGACAGTGGAATACATTAAGTAGACAGTAGAGTATATTGAGTAGACAGTGGAATACATTCAGTAGACAGTGGAATACATTCAGAAGACAGTGGAATACATTAAGTAGACAGTGAAATACATTGTGTAGACAGTGGAATACATTCAGTAGACAGTGGAATACATTCAGTAGACAGTGGAATACATTAAGTAGACAGTGGAATACATTAAGTAGACAGTGGAATACATTAAGTAGACAGTGGAATACATTGAGTAGACAGTGGAATACATTCAGTAGACAGTGGAATACATTAAGTAGACAGTGGAATACATTAAGTAGACAGTGGAATACATTGAGTAGACAGTGGAATACATTAAGTAGACAGTGGAATACATTCAGTAGACAGTGGAATACATTCAGTAGACAGTGGAATACATTCAGTAGACAGTGGAATACATTAAGTAGACAGTTGAATACATTAAGTAGACAGTGAAATACATTAAGTAGACAGTTGAATACATTCATTAGAGAGTGGAATACATTGAGTAGACAGTGGAATACATTGAGTAGACAGTGGAATACATGAAGTAGACAGTAGAATACATTCAGTACAGTGGAATACATTGTGTAGACAGTGGAATACATTAAGTAGACAGTAGAATACATTAAGTAGACGGCGGAATACATTAAGTAGACAGTGGAATACATTAAGTAGACAGTGGAATACATTAAGTAGACAGTGGAATACATTCAGTAGACAGTGGAATACATTAAGTAGACAGTGGAATACATTAAGTAGACACTGGAATACATTAAGGAGATAGTTGAGCACATTCAGTAGACAGTGGAATACATTAAGTAGACAGTGGAATACATTAAGTAGACAGTGGAATACATTAAGTAGACAGTGGAATACATTAAGTAGACAGTGGAATACATTAAGTAGACAGTGGAATACATTAAGTAGACAGTGGAATACATTTAGTGGAGAGTGGAATACATTTAGCAGACAGTGGAATACATTAAGATGACAGTGGAATACATTAAGTAGACAGTGGAATACATTAAGTAGACAGTGGAATACATTAAGTAGACACTGGAATACATTAAGTAGACACTGGAATACATTGGGTAGACAGTGGAATGCATTCAGTAGACAGTGGAATACATTAAGTAGACAGTGGAATACATTCAGTAGACAGTGGAATACATTAAGTAGACAGTGGAATACATTCAGTAGACAGTGGAATACATTAAGTAGACAGTGGAATACATTAAGTAGACAGTGGAATACATGCAGTAGACAATGGAATACATTCAGTAGACAGTGGAATACATTCAGTAGACAGTGAAATACATTGAGTAGACAGTGGAATACATTAAGTAGACAGTGGAATACATTAAGTAGACAGTGGAATACATTAAGTAGACAGTGGAATACATTAAGTAGACAGTGGAATACATTAAGTAGACAGTGAAATACATTAAGTAGACAGTTGAATACATTCAGTAGACAGTGGAATACATTGAGTAGACAGTGGAATACATTAAGTAGACACTGGAATACATTCAGTAGACAGTGGAATACATTCAGTAGACAGTGGAATACATTCAGTAGACAGTGGAATACATTAAGTAGACAGTAGAGTATATTGAGTAGACAGTGGAAGACATTCAGTAGACAATGGAATACATTCAGTAGACAGTGGAATACATTAAGTAGACATTGGAATGCATTCAATAGACAGTGGAATACATTAAGTAGACAGTGGAATACATGAAGTAGACAATGGAATACATGAAGTAGACAGTGGAATACATTAAGCTGACAGTGGAATACATTAAGTAGACACTGGAATACATTAGGTAGACAGTGGAATACATTGAGTAGACAGTGGAATACATTAAGTAGACATTGGAATGCATTGAGTAGACAGTGGAATACATTCAGTAGACAGTGGAATACATTAAGTAGACAGTGGAATACATTGAGTAGACACTGGAATACATTCAGTAGAATGCGGAATACATTCAGTAGAGAGTGGAATAAATTAAGTACACAGTGGAATACATTAAGTAGACAGTGGAATACATGCAGTAGACAATGGAATACATTCAGTAGACAGTGGAATACATTAAGTAGACAGTGGAATACATTAAGTAGACAGTGGAATACATTAAGTAGACAGTGGAATACATTCAGTAGACAGTGGAATACATTCAGTAGACAGTGGAATACATAAAGTAGACAGTGGAATACATTCAGTCGACAGTGGAATTCATTAATTAGACAGCGGAATGCATTCAATAGACAGTGAAATACATTGAGTAGATAGTGGAATACATGAAGTAGACAGTGGAATATATGAAGTAGACAGTGGAATACATTAAGGAGATAGTTGAGCACATTCAGTAGACAGTGGAATACATTCAGTAGACAGTGGAATACATTCAGTAGACAGTGGAATACATTAAGTAGACAGTGGAATACATTCAGTAGACAGTGGAATACATTAAGTAGACAGTGGAATACATTCAGTAGACAGTGGAATACATTAAATACACACTGGAACACATTCAGTAGACAGTGGAATACATTGAGTAGACAGTGGAATACATTGAGTAGACAGTGGAATACATTGAGTAGATAGTTGAGCATGGCTGTGCAGATGGGGTTGTTGAGCAGCACCCATCTCATCACAAATAATGACACTTTTGATAGGTTCCATTTCTGCCAACTGGGTAGCTATATACTTGACATGACTTCTAGTATATCCCATAGATACACCTGTTTCAGAACTGATATATCACATGATGAAATCTGTAGCAGTGTGTTATTGTGTGTAAACACTTTTAAAACCTCCGATTAGTCGTCTCTGACCTTGGAAAAGTCTGAACTTTGACATCGGACAACTTAAAAAGCACAATACTTTTGTTGTCTCTCAGTGAAAAATATCAACTCAAAATACAAATTACATTGAAACATATACAAATACCAAAAATCTGGCAAACTGCTCGTAAGTAAGATCACTGTGTTAGAGCCTTAGGTAGTATGATCGCTGAAGACAGTGTACATAGGTGTAATCTCAACATTAACCAGCTCCACAACTACTTTCAATACATTTTCCCCTATTACAGCTCATAAAGGCAAATTAGATATAACAATTTTAACCCCTAAAGTACCCCAAAGTTAAAAAATGGTCCACATAGCTTTAGATTGTGTCTCAAATATGTAACTCTAATTTCAAAGTTATCAGAGTTCTGTATGAGATTTAAAATGAAAAGTAAAATGCCATAGATCTATCTAAATGTTTAATAACGGACATGGTCACACTATAACACAATCATTACATCTGAATGCACAGATTTTCTTGTTTTGGCTATACAATTTCTGCCTGCGTTAAATATGATGATATAAAAGCATGATCATCTTCATATTTATTTGTGGAAAAATGTTTGAATAAAAGAAACTATGTGGATCAGGTACATTTCTGTACTAGGATATTCAACATTTTTTGTTTGGGTTTTTTTAATACAATGTTGTATATTAAGATATAAAGCTTGGTTTGTTTGTTTGTTTCATCTCTTCCTACTATCAGGCGTAGTTTCACAGACAAACCTCTGAGTAATGTTGACATTTACACATAAAATTGCCTTTCAGTTATCAGCGCAGCACTTAACCGCACAGGATATTGTGTGCATATAGAACCGACGGCCCATATCTCATGTTACAGTATTAACATGCATAATCACACATACAGAACGATCGGACAGAAGTGTCAATGTGTATCATAATCTTGTAGGTACAATGATATACATCATACAAAATAACAACGGTGGTAAAACATAGGGTTGGGCAAACAGCTCCATATTACCATGGCTGTGGTGAAGTGAAGCATTTCACTATTATCTTACAAGTTCCACTTGTTCACCATTTATTTCTAATCGCTCTGATTCAATCGTAGAAACACACAAATGACAAAGAATATGTCTGGGATGGAGAAATTAGGGTGGGACAGGCAGGGTTCACTTCACCATGGCCATGCTAAAGTGAAGCATTTCAGCATTATCTTACTAAATCATTTCTTATCATTGTTTGTCTAATTGCCATGATTCCAATACATAAACCTATAAATAACAAATATGTTTGGGCTGGTGAAATTTAGGTTGGGGCTGGGGGAATTCACCAAAGACATATATTGTGCTATTTGCCTGTTGATACCATGGAATCAGGGTTATAGGAGGAAAAAAGTGAGCAAAAAATTATAAAGCAAGGAAATAATGAAACACTTCAAACTTGACCCTGGTGAACTGAAACCGCTCCCACCAGTTTGTTATATGAAAACTTTAACATTTTGGCTGTTTTGGTTCAATAAGAAACTACAGTGTTCTAGTTTGTTAATTTCAAAACGAAACGATTACATAAATAAACATTCAGTGCTAAAATTCTACACATAAACCACCTGATTCTGCTTGAACCTGTAATT